ATTAATTTTATTTCATTTAATTTTCAATTATTAGTCAATATTACTGTAGTATATCGAGATTGGAAAATCCTTTACGAAAAATATAAGTAATTGTAGCATTTTGGTACAGTATTTTATCAGGTAAAATGTTTTTGCCGACCACAAATTTATTACTTTGCAATGATTAAATTAGTTTAAAAATTTACGTATTACAGTGTCTTCAATGAAAAGTGCAGGTGATGAAGATCCCCTACAGGTACCATGCTTTAATCTTGAACAGCAGGGTCAAATTAATGAAAATGAAAAATATAAAGTTGAAATAATTAAAGCAACTAAAGCAGACGATGAACTGGTATGGAATACCACTGCACAGGTAAAAACTTTCTTATATCACTAATTTAATTATATCTTCTTCACAGATGAATTGAATTTTTTTATTCTGTGAATTGAATTTTGCTATGAATTGAATTTTTTTATAAATCAAAAGTAAGAAATATTATGCGATAGATTAATAAAAGAAAATGAATATTTATATTTGTCAAATATCATGATTATGTTTGACAAAAATTTCGATAAATTATCCATTTCTTAGTTTTATTGTCTTTTTCGATTATTTCCATTATCAAGTAAACTAGTAAATCATTTATTTACAGTATTGCTAAAAGCACTTGAAATCATTTTAGTTGCAAGCATTAGTTCTCATAAAGAGAGGTCATGGACCGCCCGTTGGATTTAATGAACTCAGAAAATTTAATACAGCAATGCAAGAAGCAGCAGAAGTTTATCGTGATTCCATTAGCTCCAGTCAGGTAAGCTAAGATCCATTTATGGCATATAATTTTAAGCTTTGAAATGATCACCTATAATGTCACAAAGGAATATTTATTATCAAATATATTATATTAATTTAAATTTCACTAATATTTATTATTAAAAAGTTTGATCCTTTCGGTGAGTAAGCCGGTAAAACTATCTTCCATTTTATTTTCCATGTTTAATTAATTTTCTGCCTCTAAACTTTCTGTTAAATAATGAATGACTGAAAAATTAATTATAAATGTTAAAGTTTGTATTTTTAGCTTGGAAACTAAATGTTGAGAGCATATAAGAATAAATGTTATTTAAAAACTGTTAAGTAATAATTTATTAACAAATGAGTTATTGTAGGATAGATCAGTTAGTCGTGTTGGAACTTTTCAATATCGTGTAAGTTATGCTGATAAAACTGAAACTTATCATGTGGATGCTATGAGAAATTTAATTTTGCAACAATTACCGCCAACTGTTCGCTTTTTTACGGAACAAACAAAAAGTGAAAAATTGAAGAGTGCGTTGCATGAAATGAAACAAAAGCGTAAACGTAAACAATAGTTTTAAATTTCTCAAATTGTTGAGATCAAATTTGCAGCAATTGAAAATCCTTGCTTGAAATTTCTGTTAAACTGATAAGGATTTTTTTCTGCAGAAATTTCAAAATATTAAAATTTCTTTCAATTAATTATTATAATTTTGAATGAATTGCAGTAACTTTCAATTCTCTATAATTTAGTGTATAAATTTTTTTTTTAATGAAGGCTCCCTAAGAGTGCAAATAATTGAGAGCGAAAAGTATCCCAAATGTCATTTCTGACATTTGAAAAATTTACAAATTTTAAAATAATATTTGCATGCTATTTCTTTCTGTCTAGCAATAATTTACAATTTCTAACATTTGTACAACTTGCACGAATTTCATAATCCTTTAATTTGATGATTCAAAATCAAAATCAAAAAAAGAAAGGGACGAGAGTGTGAAAGATTTAAATCATCATTAGGAGATCTCAGGGGAAAGGATAGAGAATGAAATTTCATATAATTATTAAAATATTCATTTCGTTCTTCAGCTATTTCATTTGACTATGC